ATTGCAAGGAACATTGACTCTGTATAAGGCCAGTGCGCCAGTTTGATAATCACCCGTACCCGTACTAACGTACACCTGAACTTCAGTCGGAGTTATAGCACGCCCATTACGTGTGACAGTGAATGGAAGCTTGATAATAACATAAGATCGCACTGAAGAGGTCTTCACATAAACGTATTATAAGCAAGCCAGCCATCTCTGTCAAAGTCAGCCGTTTACGGATCATTAATCTCACTGGTGAGGTATCTACACCAGCTTATTAATGGCATCGGGCTTATCTGGGGGAATGTTTCGCATTCTCTTGCATAAAGATGTGAGAAGCCTATATGCAACTGAGGGCGATAAGCAGCGACACACAATGAGCACATAAAGTAATGACGTCATCAAGTGCACACTTCAATGGGGAGATTAATTTCATGTGTGTGCCGTGTTTGAAGTGAGGCTTCTATGCATGCCTTTTCAGAGGCTGTCTTCGCTGTCATTTCATACGTAATTTATAGGTTTGATATATATGTGAGATTTAAAAAGTCTTGGCCTGCTTTCTTATGATTGCGAATCAGGCAACAACAGGCAACAACAGGCAACAACCCAAACCAAACACGGTGTACATGCTTCGAAGTTTCTGTACAAATTGACAAGTTGTTCTGTAGCTCACTTTAATTTTTTTTGTTTACCAAACACTGATATTATTTTGAATAACTTGAAATTAAGTTTGAAGAACGTTCTTTTGATACCTTTCTTTGGGTTATAAGGGAGAGGTTTCAAGTGAGTGAGTTTTGTTTTACTCCGCTTTGAGCAATATTCCAGCAATATCACGGCGGGGGACACCATAAATGGGCTTCACACATTGTATCCATGTGGGGAATCGAACCCGGATCTTCGGCGTGGCGAGCAAACGTTTAACCACTAGGCTACCCGACCGCCCCCGAGTACAATGCATGTATTGCAGATCTGACAAATCATAAAAATGAAATTATATTCAAAAATGTACATCAATCTATATGCAAATCTAAACGATTCCAGTAGTCTTCTCTCTATACACCTTTTGTATTATAGCATTTCCCCCTGTTATCTTTCAGTCTTTCTCTGTCTCTGTGTCTAATAATTGCTTGTGATGTAATTAGTTATTGTAAATATCTTCGGAGAGGGGTTTAATAAGTTGAAAGAACTTGTCCCCGATCCTTTTCACATTGTGAATAAAATATGTTTAAATTAAAAAAAATAAAGGGCCTGGCTAGTTTCTGAGCGACGCCAGTATATTTCTCCGGCAACTAGATCATATACTGGTGAATAAACCTGCCTCTCAGGTACAAGTTTATCACATAACCCCATCCTTACAGGCACCAATTGTATGAACTGAGGCATATTTTCAACACAGTCACTTACACCACATAAATTGTGTTTCCTTATTTACCGACCACCGTAAAAAACTGGAATATTGTACGGCGTTAAACAACTAAACTATATAAAAAATAAATCGTGTTTCAAAATGGGCCAAGGCCGAAGCCCCAGAAATTGTCTCTGAAGTAACATCTGTCTGTCTTAATTTTGTCTGACGTAACATTTGTCTGTGGTAACTTTTGTCTGACGTGACATATGTCTGTGGTAACTTTTGTCGGACGTGACATTTGTCTGTGGTAACATTTGTCTGACGTAACATCTGTCTGTGGTAACTTTTGTCTGACGTGACATCTGTCTGTGGTAACTTTTGTCTGACGTAACATTTGTCTGTGGTAACTTTTGTCTGACGTAACATTTGTCTGTGGTAACATTTGTTTGACGTAACATTTGTATGTGGTAACATTTGTCTGACGTGACATTTGTCTGACGTAACATTTGTATGTGGTAACTTTTGTCTGATGTAAACTTTGTCTGAATTAACATCTGTCGTTGAGCAGAGGACCACGTTTGTATGCACATATAGTCTCTATAGTTAACTACCGTTAGATGGTTTATTGACAGCATAGTAATACTGTTAAATCGGCTACAATATTATCAAAATCCCCAACTCACGTTTCGTCATGGTTGTTTGTTACCGAGCCTACGATGACAACACTACAGGAATGAAAGTATTTTCCTGATCGTGGTATAAGTATAGTTGTAATTTCGTTACAACTGATCCCAAGAGTTGAAGAAGCTGGACCTGGGGCGGTGGGGTAGCCTTGCTCCAAGGCTGTACTGAATGCTAAGCCTATGGATGTATAGTAATTCTATCCTTTAAAGGGGCAAGTCCAGATAAGCGGACAGTAAGAACGGCAGTCTGTTATGTATATTTTCAGAAACTACCACTGAAACTATTGATCATTACCTTAGATACTTGTCCAAGTGTAGCGGTGGGGTAACCTAGTGGTTAAAGCATTCGCTCGTCTGGATTCGATTCCACACAGGGTACAATTATTCTGTCACAGTCCGCATTGTTTTCCCTTCTCGCCAGCCCTCCCTGCAATGCTAAAGCCCTAAATGAAGCAAGTCTAGATTTGCCCACGTTCAGGATCTCCCTCCTCACTAGGGCTCCTTTACAAGTTAAAATGAATTGGGGGGCGGTGGGGTAGCCTTGTGGTTAAAGCGTTCGCTCGTCACGCCGAAGACCCGGGTTCGATTCCCCACATGGGTACAATGTGTGAAGCCCATTTCTGGTGTCCCCCGCCGTGATATTGCTCGAATATTGCTAAAAGCGGCGTTAAACCATACTCACTCACTAAAATGAATTGGTTTTTTTCTGTTGAATATATATCTTCAGAGACTAAGTGTTTATCTAGGGTACAATGTGTGACTCTGATTTCTGATGTCCCCCCATCTTAATAGTGGCTGGAATAATTCACAAAGTCACGTTAAGCCATGCTCACTAATGCACTCACTAGTGGCTCACGGCGATGGTCCGGGATCGATTCTCCAGATGATGCATGAAGCCCATTTCTGGTTTCCCCCGATATTGCAGTGTATTGGTAAAACCATACTCACTCACTCACTCATTGAAGCTGTAGTTTCGTACTGTTTTGGGTGGTAGTTCAAATAAAAAATAGACATGACTACCTTGGCAAAAAAGCCTTACGGAGTTCAGAGAGGTTTCTACTGGACAGGTTCATTGGCAAAGGCCGCTTGATGGGTTGTTTGTCCTGTACTAGGGATGGTGGTTCTCAGTAGGTTCTCACGAGACCACGAAGTTTGATATACAGCCCAGATCTCTTCACCTTCAGGAGTGATTTGCTGGCTTCCTTCTATTCTACATGTATATATTAAAAGACATTATTCAAAGACTTTATGAGAGTGACCATACCCTCTGCTTTGATTCCTGAATACCATGTAATATTTCTCCCTGAGGCTCATTCTTCGTAACACAAAGAGCGTCAGAATTTACTCCTGGGTCGACAGAATGTCAATTACAGATAAAACCTGGGGTTCCTGGGTCGCAAAGGGCGAAGTTGAAAAATGTGAAAAAATATTACATAATGATTTTTTTCGCTCACCAATATTGCTTCTCAAATTTTGAATCTGCATATAAACTTCGATTATATTTGCGCCTTGCGTACCATATTGCAGAATACCCCAAGTGTCTAAATTAGTCCCGAATCTCTGGTACTAAAAGGGTTTGGCAGTTTCTTTAACATAAATGGTATCGGTAGCAGTCTTTCTATGACGTTTTTGTTGCGGAATAGACTGTTAATAATTCACTCATTACGTGCTGTGAAAATCAGAATTTTCCGCTCTCACGTTCAACGCCTGAAGAAAGTGACTCAAACGAGTTGACATTGTTCCTCAACAAACGAAACAATTATCGAGGGATATGAGCGATGAATCTGTCAAACCATGACACTATAAATTGCCCGCTTACAAGCTGCATTTCTGACTGGTTTCAGCCAATGACTCTTAAATTCACCCCATCCGACACAAATACGAATATTATTGTCATTAATCTTTATCTTCCGGGCGTCTTTCTGTGAAGCAGACGACACCTGTTACCACCTGTCAGGTGCAGGATGCACCGTGGATGTCATCGTCTGCTCGCCACTGTCCAGCCAGGTAAGGCACTAAGTGCCCCTATTTCATCCCCCTTCAACCGTAGACAGTCATTCCGCAATTAATCTCTCTGTACTGCACACAATCGACGAGATCTTCTTTCAAGGGTGTCATAAAGACCAAAGGTTATCCATTGAATTCTCAAAGACCTTTAAGAGGGCCTGAACCCCGCGGTCAAAACGCGACCCCAGGGGTGCCTCCTCTTCGATGGACTGTCCAGCCAAAGGCTTTAATTGTTGTAACATAGAAGGTGCGTCCTCTAATGTCAACAGGTGAAGTGGACAATACGACCGGTAGTGCACATGTTGCGAGATGCTGACACCCAGGATTATCTCCCTTTGATGGCGAGGTAATAGTCGTGTCAACGGGTTCACGGACAAATGGACACTCAGATTTCGCTTTAACTGACATGCGGAAGGAATCAAGAGTAGTGCAGATCGTCCTCTATAATTAATAGTGTAAAGGGAAAGCAACTCTTACTGGAAAGATGTCTGAGATAATTGGTCGTAAACTGAAAGCCTTTGGATTCCGTGTTGTTATAATGTGCTTCGCATCATTCCAACCATACTGACAGGCGAAAGAAAGTACACACCACGTTTGGCGGTGGCGTAAAATGAAAGAGACGTTGTTTTTGTGATGGCGTATTTGATGCGTTTTGACTTTACATTTCCAGTGTTTCGGTGACCGTTTTCAGCTTGGTAACGTAGTGCAGATCGTTTGCGATTTCATGGTCAAATATGTGGTCAAAAATTGTGTACATTTTGACCCAGGACCCGTGAAGATCCGAGTTAGAATTTGTGTTCAACAACCCACGCTTGTCGTAAGAGGCGACTAACGGGATCTGACTTAGTTGATGTTGATCACTGGATTGTCTGGTCCAGACTCGATTATTTACAGACCGTCACCATATAGCTGGAATATGGTAGTGGTAGATGAAGCAGCGACAATGGTAGTGGTAGATGTAGCAGTGACAATGCCACTACCAACGTGTACTGCTACATCTAGATGTACAGTGACGATGGTAGTGGTAGATGTAGCAGTGACCATGGTAGTGGTGGATGTAGCAGTGACAATGGTAGTGGTAGATGTAGTAGTGACAATGGTAGTGGTAGATGTAGTAGTGACCATGGTAGTGGTGGATGTAGCAGTGACAATGGTAGTGGTAGATGTAGCAGTGACAATGGTAGTGGTGGATGTAGTAGTGACAATGGTGGTAGTAGTAGTAGTAACAATGGTAGTGGTAGATGTAGTAGTGACAATGGTAGTGGTGGATGTAGCAGTGACAATGGTAGTGGTGGATGTAGTAGTGACAATGGTAGTGGTAGGTGTAGTAGTGACAATGGTAGTGGTAGATGTAGCAGTGACGATGGTAGTGGTGGATGTAGTAGTGACCATGGTAGTGGTGGATGTAGCAGTGACAATGGTAGTGGTAGATGTAGTAGTGGCAATGGTAGTGGTAGATGTAGTAGTGACCATGGTAGTGGTGGATGTAGCAGTGACAATGGTAGTGGTAGATGTAGCAGTGACAATGGTAGTGGTGGATGTAGTAGTGACAATGGTAGTGGTAGGTGTAGTAGTAACAATGGTAGTGGTAGATGTAGTAGTGACAATGGTAGTGGTGGATGTAGTAGTGACAATGGTAGTGGTGAATGTAGCAGTGACAATGGTAGTGGTAGATGTAGCAGTGGCAATGGTAGTGGTGGATGTAGCAGTGACAATGGTAGTGGTAGATGTAGTAGTGACAATGGTAGTGGTGGATGTAGCAGTGACAATGGTAGTGGTAGATGTAGCAGTGACAATGGTAGTGGTAGGTGTAGTAGTGACATTGGTAGTGGTAGATGTAGCAGTGACAATTGTAGTGGTGAATGTAGCAGTGACAATGGTAGTGGTAGATGTAGCAGTGACAATGGTAGTGGTAGATGTAGCAGTGGCAATGGTAGTGGTAGATGTAGCAGTGACAATGGTAGTGGTAGATGTAGTAGTGACAATGGTAGTGGTGGATGTAGTAGTGGGTATGGTGGTGGTATGTAGTAGTGGCAATGGCAGTGGTGGATGTAGTAGTGACAATGGCGGTGGTAGGTGTAGTAGTTGTAGTGGTAATGGTAGTGGTAGATGTAGCAGTGACAATGGTAGTGGTAGATGTAGTAGTGACATTGGTAGTTGAGGATGTAGTAGTGACAATGGTAGTGGTAGATGTAGCAGTGACAATGGTAGTGGAAGATGTAGCAATTGTATACTCTCTTGAATCCTCGAAATTGTAGGCCTACACTCTTTCGCATTTTTGCATTTTTGAACCTGTATATCCTCTCACATTCGCATGATTTCTGATGTAACTCTCCTCAGGAGGTATAAATAACATAATAATGGCCCGGCGATTAGTGATTAAATCTGATTGTTACATCATTAACCGATGACGTCACAGCGGTGCTAGGAAGAGATACTGCTTGATCTCACCAACGATATCTCCCGTGGGAGCCAGGTTTGGGTAAAAACAAACTGTCCATGTCGAATTTATCAGCATGAACACACGCGAGAGTGTACCTTTAAAAAGCTTGGTATTTTGCTGACGTGGCACATTAGATGCCGTATCCAGACAGTCACGGTTGGAGGGAGGGAATGACAGGGGAGGGGTCTCAGGGGAGACTTGAAGGGGCTGCGGGCTATAGGCAAACCTAATCATCAGCAAAAAATGGGCGTAAAGAAATGTGAGTTGAGGAAGACCCCGGTACGTGTTTTGTCCCATTCAGAGACGCATCCAGCGGAGAACGTACGTGGAGACTTGGAGCTCGTCTTTCTGTCGAATGAATCGCTCAAAAGAGCTTTTTGTGTGTTTTTCTCCCCGCTTCATGAAAACCCTCTGTGGAAGAAAAGAGTTATCCTGTACTTTCTCTTATTACCTGAATGAGCTAACCGCAGCTCCCGTGGGGACACTGGGGGACTTGCTCCGGTGAAAAGCCTCGTTTTGACAACGCTGGATGAGAGACATACCGCAGATAACTTACCCTTGTCCTCGTCGCCGCTATTGTAGAGTCCCGGTCCTCGACTGGGAGACTGTCTCAGCCGCGGCATGCCATTGTTGGAGGCTGTAACACGGGTCGGTGACAATTGCAGCTGGTTGACCCGAACTCGTTCTCCGTGGATGTTGAGGATAGGAGAACGTCCCCCTCGGCGTGTTTCAACTGGAGCACAGTAGTGAGGAATCTGGACCACCAGCTTTGAGGCAATACGGGTTCGTGGTTCGAACCCATCAGCTCACGGAGTTACATACAATATATATGATATGACAAATAAGTATACGCGCGCGCGCTCACACACACACACGCACGCACGTACGTAACTTTAGCTTCCTGGCGATAAAACTGAATCATGTAGGAATACATTTCGTGTGGTGCGATGTTTTAGTTAATATACTCATGCCAATAATGGTTGTCACCCCCTTCAATTTTTTTTATTGGAGAGGGTGTGGGGTTAAGGGGGGGGAGGTGGGTGACAACCATTATTGGCATGAGTATATTTACTAAAACATCGCACCACACGAAATGTATTCCTACATGATTCAGTTTTATCGCCAGGAAGCTAAAGTTACGTACGTGCGTGTGTGTGTGTGTGCGCGCGCGTATGTGTTACTGCTCCCTTGTTAACTAATGAATATATACATACAGACAGACAGACAGTATTTGTTGATATAGAAATATCCGATTAATTGATTCTTCTCACGAAGCCACAAAAAGAGCCAATTTTACCTAAATGCCGTTTTAATAATTATACAGTTTATCTTTTACAAAGCACATTGTATATAATTCCCCGAGTCATGCCTACCTGCAAATTAATATCGTTACGCGCAGCTCGTTTTGACGTTCAATATATTCACACGTTCTAACTGACTTTTGAATTAAATTTTTAAGATAAATCTTTATGATTTATGACAATACATGACATTAGAGGACGGTAAAATACAGCTGAATTGTTTACATTCACCCCTAAACATCAAAGAACACAAACACATCAAAGGGTGTCTTACACACCGACTTGAGCGTATTTTTGCACTTTGGATTAACATCGAACATTTAGATTTTTTCTGTCTTGTATTTTGAATGGTAATTGGTTGAGAGTAAATCCTGTAAGTACTTGATCGGTGTGAGAAACTTGATCCAGGTGACGCTACATACAATATTCTGTACTTCGTTTCAACAAATATGTTAATTGTAAATACAGTTTCAAATGAAATATTTCCGCGAGACATTAGCATGCAGATGTGGAAGTGAGTGAGTGAGGATGCTTTTACGCCGCTTTTTAAAAATGTTTCAGCAATATCACGGCGGGGACACCAGTAATGGGCTTCACACATTGTACCCATATGGGGAATCGAACCCGGGTGTTCGGCGTGACGAGCGAACGCTGTAACCACTAGCGGCGTAAAATCACACTCACTCGCGTCCTTAAAACAGAGCGAACAGTTTCTATATTGACCGTTTCGTACTCAGATATGTTCGGTTTAACAACATTTCGCCCAGCTCTTGGTTTACTGAATAGAAAATGCACATGCCTTGAAAATTAAGGCATCCTTTTCTAGTCCAAACAATGCAGTTCCTTTAAAAATTATTTTTTGGGCGAAGATTGAGCACCTTTTTATGCTGTCAAATCATCGAGCTCCTAAAAGATCAAGAAAGGTTGATCTCAAATCAAAATCTCCTCCTCTACGAACAGCAAGTGGCAACTCGCTATCAAATTGTCCTATCAGAGTACACGCCCAGCAATATTGTAGCTACAAGATGGCGGTTTGCAATATATACTGAACAACATTAGAAACGCACCACCCATACAATGCGAAATATCCCCGTCAGACTGAAATGTACCCATGATATCTGAGCATCGTCGGTGCATTTTAGTGTGGTGCGTTTCTAATGTTGTTCAGTATATTATCAGGACCAGACAATCCAGTGATTAGTGAGTGAGTGAGTATTTGGGATACATTGACTTTAATCATCCTAGTCTGTGAGCCTGACCATGACAAGCCTTGCTGAGGACAAACTCCAACCCTGATCTTCAGTTTGTAAGTCTATGTTGTTAACATTGTGCACGCGTCTATAAATTGCCTTTATATAGTATTTTGGTGTTGAACAACCAAAAACCAAAAATCATCTAATAAGAAAAAAACAAACAACAACAACAACAACAAAAACTCACAAACAAGCAAACAACAAGAAAAAGTAAAACAATATAAGTACTGAAATTGTCAAGAGCACTATGGACTGCTTTTAAATGAACGTGACATAGTTTAAAACCGAGTAACATTTTGGGCGCAAAGTGGCCGAGTGTCACTCGACGTCGCTCCAAATCCAATTATTACTACAACGACAAAAGTGACATAGTTATTGTTGAGAGTCTCGTCTGAAACGTGCGCGACATAACATGTCAATCATCCAACCCGGGTCAATACATACCACGTGATCCCCGTGAAACCTCGTGTTCCTTGAGCTCGTGATTCTCGAGGCAATGACCGTTCTGTACTCTATGGCATTTGAACACCTGTGCACGTGTTATAACTGGTTCAGTATTCGTTGCATTGCTCAATACAGGATATTTGGGGATAAACCTTGATGTTCTATTCAAACTGACCGATGGTGCCCTTCTTCGATCAACTGGTCATCGAGATGTGGAGTGAATGTATTGATTATCAGCCTGCCCTTCTACGAGTTTCTGATGCCAGTGAGTCTTCCGAAAAGTCGTGTTTGGGATTTCTGCTGTATTTATGGTACCTGTGTCCAAAGGTAACCCCTCCCCCAAAACACCTTTAAAGCTTACATTGAGAAAAAATGCGTCCTGACCTGTGTTAAGCAAGAACAGAAAAGAAACTACCTCCTCCTCTCACATACCAACCCCCTTCACAAAAGAAAACAACAAAAAAGTTACAAATATAAGACCACCCAAAAAAATCAAAACAACAATAATCCCCCCCAAAAACAAAACAAAACAAACAAAAATATACACACTGAAAACATCCAACACATAACATAATACAAACAACTCACAATAAATACCCCACCCCACTCCCACCCCAATAAAAGGAAAAAAAAACCGCACAAAAATAAACAAACAAACAAAAACAAACCCAAACCCCCCAAAACAAACCCAAAGCAACAACAATAAAACACTCTAAAAAACTATTACAACTATTATTGGATACATGTTTGTAATGTGCGAACATTTTGGTATTGTAAGTACACCAAAGATCTTTCCACCCTCACGGTTTCCGAGCTTCTTATCATTTGCCCTTGTTGGTTTTCCATCATGAAGCCTGGGGCCATTCTCTCTTACCGAGGTTAAGGCCTCTGAACGAATATTTGCATTCCATCATATCCCAGACTGGTTTTCAGAATGCGTGACGACGTATTGTGTCGTTGTAGAACGCTATAGAATCCGGCGATCTTAGGATTTGCGCCAGTTACTGTAAACTCGCTTTGTGTACCTGTACCATGGGTTGTAGTGAGTGAGTTTTATATAACGCCACTTTGAGCGGTGTCTCTGTACTTCTCAGCGTTTTTCACTTTGGTACTGGCGTTTACGACTTTGCACGGATATGGTGTTGACAGGCCTAGAAACATAGTCAGATGAAACCGGGATTCGAACCCACGATCGTGTTTCTGGCACGCCAAAGGAAAGGAAACTCTAAACAGCGAATGGCGTCGCCTTGGCGACTTGACCACCCCGTGCCCCAGCTATAGTGGAAGTGGTAGCATCAGAAGTTGTCTTCAGCAACCCATGATTGCCGCAAGAGGTGACCCACGGCATCATGTAGACTAACATAATCTAGTCTCTGAAATGAGGGAGCGGTTGGGTAGCCTAGTGGTTAAACCGTTCGCTCGTCACGCCGAAGACCCGGGTTCGATTCCACACATGGGTAAAATATGTGAAGCCCATCTCTGGTGTCCCCTGCTGTGATATTGTTGGCATATTGTTAACATCGGCGTAAAACCATATCTTCCTATTCAACATCCGTTGAAAGAAGTGTTGTATTAGGTATGTGTGTAAAATCATGCGTAACAGTATAGAATGCCCAGCTTCGTGTTGGCTAGCCTTTTTATGCAGGGACGATTCCGAGCAGGATGTAGCACTCGGGGAAACGCCCAGTAGTTGAGCTGAAACTCACTGCGTGTATGTCAGTGCGGGATGTAGGCTCAACGTTATGATGGAGAGCACATATTCCGGCCATTTTGTTGTGTTATTGTGCATAACGTTTATTGGACGGTCCGTGACAGTGATACCGGTATTATCATTTATGCCCCGAGGAGATCTCATGAGACCACGAGGTGTCAGCAATAGACACACCACTATGTGTTATTAAAACATCAATAGAGGTCGTAGAAGCAATATCGTAGTAGTAGCAGTAGTAGTAGCAGTAGTAGTAGTAGAAGTAGTAGTAGTAGTAGCAACAGCACCAGTAGTAGTAGTAGCAACAGCAGCAGCAGTAGTAGTAGTAGTAGCAGCAGCAGCAGCAGTGGTAGCAGCAGTAGTAGTAGTAGCAGTAGTAGTAGCAACAGCAGTGGTGGTGGGGTCGTAGCAGTAGAGGTAGCAGTAGTAGTGGTTGCAACCGCAGCAGTAGTCGGTGTAGCAGTAGCGACAGCAATAGTAATAGTAGTAGTGGCAGTAATAGAAGTAGTTGTAGTCGTAGTAGGAGGCGTTGCAGTAACAGTTGCAGTAGTGGTGGTGGTAGTAGTAGTAGTAGTAGTAGTAGTAGTAGTAGTTGTAGAGCAGCAAACAGTGTACGTCATCATTACTTGATCTCCTGTAACGGGTATATTCCTAACGCTCAATGTTCTTATTCCGCGGCCTATGATAACGAGAGAATTTTGCCTGCAAAAGCCATGGCAATAGAGACAGATTTCTCCCTGGTCTTATAATGCCATGGCTTCATATAACTCACATCGAATGAAGAATGGTATATGAATACGAAATGTGTAAGAAGAAAGGTTTCCGAAAAATATACGAATGTTCGTGTTAAAGATGACAAAGCTGTATGTAAATATTCAAATTTATCCACGAGTTTTCTTCCATCGTGGAACAACAAAAGAAACAGATTTTGGTAGCGTGCCAACTTTGGTTTCTAAGCGCATGCATGTGCAAGCTGATGTAATATTATATTGCAAAAGACGAGCTCTGCGCTCGTGTGGCGTTCATTGCACTCTTACAGCCCTCGGCCCGTTGTCAGTTTCATCTGACCTACTTTCGACGCGCACGTGCGACTTTCATTCAGTCCGCTGACATCAACATAAACAAGTGCGCCATCTTGAACGTACAGACAAGACGATTGTTGAGCACAACAATGACATATACACAACTCTGTTCCTCTGATACAACAGCAGCTCATCGCACTATCAGAATTTCATCTTTGAAACTGAAAAGAGATGAGAAAGATCGCTCGATATATTAAGGATACCATTCTGCTTCAAAGACGGGACGCTTTGTCATTTCGCTAAGTTCAATGTCAAATATGTTCTCGTCACGATATGGCTGAGATATTGCCGATGGGACGTTAAATATTAACTCACTCACTCACTCACTCACTCATTTCGCTAAAGAGTTGCTAAAACTGTAAAAACAAACTTATTTAAATGCATTTTGAACCAGTATTCTAGTTTGTCTGAATGGTGTTTGAATGATCAGGGCGACAGAAACATATGTATTTTATGTTTAAATATATTTTAATTTTAACTCGTTTTGGGGAAAACAGAAACCTAAAAACCTAAAACGGAGCAATTTGATAAAACGGTATATAAGCTTACACACTAAACACCATGGCGACACGCTCAACAATGACGTGATGACAACCCGGCAGAAGAACGCTTCCCCTCGTAAGACAAAGACAGAGTAAAAATGCTCCTTTTTATCTTTTGATAAAACCAACAAAAAATGTTATTTTTCCGGATAAAGCAAAAAAAATGTTCTTTTGTTTTGTGGGTAAAGCAAGCAAAAAATGTCCTTTTTGTGGGTTGAGCAAACAAAAATGAAACTTAGGTGCTAAGAAATGTGACCCACGGCATCCAGACACACAAAAATCACTCGAAAGGTATCTGCAGGTTCCATATTGGCCAGGGTGCCGTTGTACAAAGCGATCTTTGCGCTAAGGTGACCGTACCTTAACATAAACTTATGGTAACCTTAGCGTTAAGGTTGTTTTGTACAAGGGCGGTGGGGTAGCCTAGTGGTTAAAGCGTTGGCTCGTCACGCCGAAGACCCGGGTTCGATTCCCCACATGGGTACAATGTGTGAAGCCCATTTCTGGTGTCCCCCGCCGTGATATTGCTGGAATATTGCTAAAAGCGGCGTAAAACCTAAGTCAGTCAGTCAGTCAGTCAGTTTTGTACAACGGCACCCAGTTCATCGGATAACTCATACCCCAAAACCGTTATGTTAAAACCCAATGTGTTACTATTTAACGAATTGTTTAAGTGTAAACAAATACGTGTTTTAAAAACGCTATGTATATTCTGTAATGTCATCATGACAACTGTACAATCTTCCATGTAAACCATCCCGCCATCCTCTGCACTAAACTGTATATCTGTACACCTTATGCCGAGTATCCTGAGCGTAATTAAAGTTCTGTTCTGACAGCGACAGTGTCTACACTTGCTGCAGTTGTGTCTCCTCGCAACGTGTGCATTCATTCATAAGTCACGCTGCACTACCGAGATCCCCGGCAAAGCCTGGCCATTCACAAAACATCTGGAGCTGATCAGATTAAAACCATCTTTAACCTACCCATCCCTCATCATGGTTCGTCCCAACAGAGCGTCCGTTTCATCTGCTCTGGGAGAGTCCATCTGGATAATGGGTTAGGGGAATATCCGACCCTGACCTTTAAAAGCAGCTTGTGGTGAAGACCCACAGTATCAAAATAGTTGACAAATGGCCAGACATACATGTCGTTGTGCTATTTAACATTTTTTTCTTGTCTGCGGCTTTGGAATAAGGGACGTAGTCAACTCGAAGCGCCATTCCGTGAACACTGAAATATAATGGGATGTTATCGCAGTGTAATTGCTGCTATTCATGCGGTACGCCGCAAACACCATTGTGTCAACGCTGCACCTACTTCTAACACCGGCGTCAGAGACGGTCTTAGACTAACACTTAGTCTCTGAATATAAATAATTTTGAAAGTAACAAGTAAACCCATTTAAATAGAAAAGGAGCCCTAGTGAGATAGGAGATTCAGAACCTGAGGAAATCTAGACTTGCTTCATTTCGGGCTTTAGCAATACAGGGAGGGCTAGGCATTGGGGAAAATAATGTGTTTCAGGGACTGTGATACAGACTACGACAGCCTCTACTTCAGATGTTTAGTCTACGGTGGCGACTGCTTCTCCCTCTAGTTCTACGACCCCCTCCCGCAGTGACTGACCTTCGTTTAACACTGCACCTTAAGTAACGGCCAAATCGACCTCAAACACTACACCTCTCGTAATGACGGACTTACTTCTGAAGTTACGTCCCCAGTAATGACTGACTTAACTGAAAGCTCACGTAACAACTGTCTCTGCCTGCAGCGCTACATTTTGTGTGACGAATGACAACTTCTAACACCGTAGCTTCCATTACTCTCCTCTATAACGCTGCACCCTCCGTAACGACTGACTCTACTTGTAACGCTGCACCCTCCGTGAGAACTGACTCTACTTGTAACGCTGCACCCTCCGTAATGACTGCCTCTACTTGTAACGCTGCACCCTCCGTAATGACTGCCTCTACTTGTAACGCTGCACCCTCCGTAATGACTGACTCTACTTGTAACGCTGCACCTCCGTAATGACTGACTCTACTTGTAACGCTGCACCCTCCGCAAGGACTGACTCTACTTGTAACGCTGCACCTCCCGTAATGACTGACTCTGTAACGCTGCACCCTCCGTAATGACTGCCTCTACTTGTAACGCTGCACCTCCGCAAGGACTGACTCTACTTCTAACGCTGCACCTCCCGTAACGACTGACTCTACTTGTAACGCTGCACCTCCCGTAATGACTGACTCTACTTGTAACGCTGCACCCTCCGTAATGACTGACTCTACTTGTAACGCTGCACCCTCCGTAATGACTGACTCTACTTGTAACGCTGCACCATCCGTAATGACTGACTCTACTTCTAACGCTGCACCTCCCGTAATGACTGACTCTACTTGTAACGCTGCACCCTCCGCAAGGACTGACTCTACTTGTAACGCTGCACCTCCCGTAATGACTGACTCTAACTTGTAACGCTGCACCCTCCGCAAGGACTGACTCTACTTGTAACGCTGCACCCTCCGTAATGACTGACTCTACTTGTAACGCTGCACCCTCCGCAAGGACTGACTCTACTTCTAACGCTGCACCTCCCGTAACGACTGACTCTACTTGTAACGCTGCACCTCCCGTAATGACTGACTCTACTTGTAACGCTGCACCTCCGTAACGACTGACTCTACTTGTAACGCTGCACCTCCGTAATGACTGACTCTACTTGTAACGCTGCACCTCCGTAACGACTGAATCTCGTTTGTAACTTTGTAACGCTGCACCTCCCGTAATGACTGACTCTACTTGTAACGCTGCACCCTCCGTAATGACTGACTCTACTTGTAACGCTGCACCCTCCGTAAGGACTGACTCTACTTGTAACGCTGCACCTCCCGTAATGACTGACTCTACTTGTAACGCTGCACCTCCCGTAATGACTGACTCTACTTGTAACGCTGCACCCTCCGCAAGGACTGACTCTACTTGTAACGCTGCACTTCCCGTAACGACTGACTCTACTTGTAACGCTGCACCTCCCGTAATGACTGACTCTACTTGTAACGCTGCACCCTCCGTAATGACTGACTCTACTTGTAACGCTGCACCCTCCGTAATGACTGCCTCTACTTGTAACGCTGCACCCTCCGTAATGACTGCCTCTACTTGTAACGCTGCACCCTCCGTAATGACTGCCTCTACTTGTAACGCTGCACCCTCCGTAATGACTGACTCTACTTCTAACGCTGCACTTCCCGCAACGACTGACTCTACTTGTAACGCTGCACCTCCCGTAACGACTGAATCTGCTTGTAACGCTGCACATCCCGTAATGACTGACTCTACTTGTAACGTTGCACCCTCCGTAATGACTGACTCTACTTGTAACGCTGCACCCTCCGCAAGGACTGACTCTACTTGTAACGCTGCACCTCCCGTAATGACTGACTCAACTTGTAACGCTGCACCCTCCGCAAGGACTGACTCTACTTGTAACGCTGCACTTTCCGTAACGACTGACTCTACTTGTAACGCTGCACCTCCCGTAACGACTGAATCTGCTTGTAACGCTGCACCTCCCGTAATGACTGACTCTGCACTTGTAACGCTGCACCCTCCGTAATGACTGACTCTACTTCTAACGCTGCACCCTCCGCAATGACTGAACTCTACTTGTAACGCTGCACCCTCCGACTGTAATCTGACTCTGCAGCAACGCTGCACCTCCCGTAATGACTGCCTCTGCTTGTAACGCTGCACCCTCCGTAATGACTGGCTCTGCTTGTAACGCTGCACCTCCGTAATAACTGACTCTACGCTGTAACACTGCACTTCCGCAACGACTGACTAACCTTCCCGCCTCCTGCAACGGCTGAATCTGCTTGTAACGCCAGTAATATCCCGTAATGACTGACTCAATGACTGACTCCGTAACGTAACGCTGCACTTCCCGTAACGACTGACTCTACTTCTAATGACTGAATCTACTTGCAACGC